CATTTTGTGTTTGTTTATTTTATTAAATTGTTTAAATGTCCGCCGGTTCCCGTCTCCTTCTTCCCGAACTACGAACGTTGTTACAGACACCTATCGCAGCATTCCTATATAATCTCTATTCAGTATTATTCAGCAGCTTTTGAGCTTTGGAGCAAATTACCCTCCTCCATCCCCAGCTCCTCCTTTCGCCACAGTCAGGACTTGGCTTTCTGATATTCCTTGCTAATCAGACTCCTTTATCTTGAATAAAGTGTTACACTTAAATATCATTAAGTACATTAATGATATCTGCCTTGTTCTGTTAACCCTAGGGGGTTATTATTGCTGCTCACCCTGCTCATTCATGGCAGGCTGCATGGATGGGCAGCGAGGTTTTTGCCCAGAACAGAACCATACCGCCAAACCAAACTTTATGCTAAGTATCTATCATTTTGACGATAGTGGTCCTGACAGAAATAAAAGTATCGGGCGAGTACTGGAAAAAGTGGTATCGGTGCATCCCTAGTAACAACAATACAGTGTCTTATTATTCCAACAGTGTACTGTTAAAATGTAAAAATTTGACGTAAATGATGACACGTACATTCAATAAGGTCAGGAAAATATTGTCCTTCACAAAGTTAAAAAGTGTCCTAGATATCAATTTAAGGCAAATATCACAAATATGCTGATTAAAGTAAGACCTGATAAAGCACTGATGAGACTATTGCTTCAGAATAAATTACATTTACGCCAAAAAAAAAAGCTTTTTTCCCCTGGACAAGTAACTTTTTTACTCGGGCAAGTGAATGTCTGATTTACTTGTCCGAAGGACAAGCACAAGTCAAGGCTTAATGTCAAGCCCTAATATTACTCAGTACTTAAATGTATAATTACACTGTAACAAGGACACCTTAAAATAAAGTGTAACCCAATATTTATATAAATGTGATAATTACAAAGAACAATGTATAAAAAAATATATTATTGTAGCACAATAATTAAGCACAATGTCCAATATCAAGTGCATAATTGAGATCACAACAAGGAACATGACAGCTTAATTTAGCATTTAAAAAAAAAAAAAATTTTTTTTACTTGTTTGCTCCTTTCTTCTACGCTTTTCCTCCTCATGAAGGACTTTTTTAAGCTGTAAGAAGAGCTGATGTTTCTCCTCTTGCAAAACCTGCAATTTCCCCCCCATTTTTTGAACCTAATAAACAATTAAAATCTTAATATAAACATAAGGAAATGAGCAAATGCATGGGGATATATCAAATGGTTCAAGTGGTTCTGGAGGTTTTTTCCATTTAAAGGGGTCGTGAAATGGAGAATTAAAATGTTATTGATATTTACACATGTAAGAGGTTACTCTACAATAAAACCATACTGCAAGTTTCAGAACTTAAAACTCCCCAGTTTAAAATAAGAATTATTCTTATCTTTTCTATCCTTTTGAAATGCCCGGATTTGAAATCCGGATAATTGTGATGCCTTGATTCTTCTCAACACGCCCCTTAACATGATGTGCCATCGTTGTATATAATTGAGGAGGTGTGTTCTGAACAACACGTCTTTCCATCAATCTCAAGAGCAATACTGGTGTTGGATAAAGATGACACCAAATGAGACGTCAAACTCATACATTATCAGTGGATGTAAAGAAACTACAAAAACTTTGCATAGCCTTCCTAAAGATCCTAGCATTAGAAATAAATGGCTGAGGTTTATTTGTAATGACGTGCCTGAGTATCTAAAAATAAAGTTTTCGTTTGTTTTTCTCATTTCACAACAAAATGTTTCGTGAATTATTCTAAACATGTTGCAGTTTCATCATTGTGTTTTACTGTTGCTAATAAAATCAGTACATACCCAGATCAGAAATATTAGCTTAAACTGAATATTTTAAAGCAACATAAAATACCATTTAATTATATTGGCCAGCATGTTATCAACTACTCAGCAGTTCGTATGTCATTATACATCTTACATCAGACCAGAATATGACAAAGTGTTGCCACTAAGCATGAAAGATGCAACCAAAATAAATGTTTAACTGTTGGCAAACGAATGGAACCAATGTACATTTTTAAAAACCTAATTAGACTGCAGCATTTTTTGTAATACAAGTAATAACAGTACTTTTAAAAATACACTGAAAATTAAGTAAGCAAAAACAATTACCACACTGAATCAGACTGTTTCAATCGTGGTTACAATACGTTGTTTCAATTTCTTCTGCCTCGGCCTCAAACATATGGCTCTATCACAGCGCTTGGCATTTCGAGTATCAAAACACACAACATGACAGAAAGGAGGGCGTGGATACAGTGTGATGAAGTTAGCCAATCACAGCAGTGGGCGTTTACTGCCGTTTCTACAAGAGGTAAACGCTCCTAATTTTTAACAGTGTAAAAATTATTATTTTATTATTATTATTATTTTATTATTATTTTTTTTACATATATTGGATTTTTTGATGCAAAGAAATTTACGAACTTTTTAAACTAACCTTGAGAAACATAATCTGAAACTGCATTTTATAACCCTTTTAAAGGGACTGAAATTGACTCTTTTAGTATAATCGGCCCATTGCATGATCCTGAGGAGCTAATGTAGTTGTACACACCTGTTCTTTTGTTTCTTCCAAAGACATTCATTCCTCCATTTCTTTAGTTAGTTTCCTTTTCTCCTCTTCTTTCAATTTTTGTTCCATCATCTTGTCCACTTCTTCATCTTCTACAGTATGACAGAGTGAACGAACACACACACACACACACACACACACACATATATATATATATATATATATATATATAACAAACCATCTTTATAAACATTTCAAACATCATTATTATTCAAATGAATCTGTTGCTATGTATGCAAATTAGGATAAGTCTTCTATGTGATAAAACACTCAAAATAGAGTTCACAACACATTTATTAACAAACGTGGCCATATTTATTTACTCCTTTGCTTTAGAGTAACACATGAATACCTTGTCTTTTCTTCTCTCTCTCTTTCATGATATGTTTATGCAGGGCTCTGGCCATCGCATTGGACAGCTTTGGTCTCTCCAGTAGAGCAGGCATCGTAACAGGCAGTGGAGGAGCCAGCTGAAGACACACATCATGTCTTATTATGTCTTCATCGAAGACTTTGACATACATCCAAGGTATCTCTCTTCATAATAATAAACTTACTTTCGCATTGATGCAGGTTCTCTGCAATGATTTCCTTTGTATTCTTCAGAAATATCTTAGAAAATGTATAATGTTAGTAAACAATGTTAATTTTTGTTCGTCTCTCTCTCTCTCTCTCTCTCTCTCTCTCTCTCTGGGTTTATTGGCGGGTCGCAACCAACTTGTGTAGCTGCATACCGCCACCTATTGTTCCGGGGTGTGTAACATCAGAGTACTTGAGTTTATTACAAAAAGTGAGTGGGGAGAACAGAAAAGATATTACATTATACTATATCATTTATATTTTGTACTCTAATCCTGTGTCTTTAAGAAAAGTAAATAAAGTCTTACTACTTGAGGTGCCCCTCGCTGCAGACTGTAGATATTAATGAAACTAATAAAAACTAAACTGAATTTTATAGTAAATTTGAAAACGATATTAAAATAAAACGAATTAAAAAAATTAAAAACTATAATAACCTTGTTGTGGATGAGAATCCAAAACAAGGACTAGTGGGAGGTTGTCCTGCTCCACTTTACAGTTGCCGAATGAAAGGAGAGTTTTATAATGACAGGACATGCATTTATACAACACTTTATTCAAAAGGAAGAACCGCTCGTTCCCTTTCAAGGGAACTTCGAACTGCGTGCTGTAGGGGTCGCTATGGGGAACGCCTGGTCTTGACCCGTGTCTGAAGCATACATTGAAAAAACACCAACACGTTGGCATGACGTCACTACCGGTGCGACTATAGTATAAATAGGCATGAACACATCATCCTCGTCTTCGTCTTCACTGACTGTTTTGTTTGAAGCATGCATTTCCGTGGTAAGAGCGATCTCTATTCATTCATTATGGCGAGCACTAGCAAAGCGTTTAGAGGATATGTGCATCCGTGTCGTCGTTATTTGACATCTGATGACATACACGATCTATGCGTTGTTTGTTTGGGCGAAGAGCACGCACGCGATGTCCTCAAGGGGGCAATCTGCGTGCACTGTGAGCGTTTTTCAATGAAAAAGCTCCGTTCTCGTTTGTCTCTTTTTTTCGAGTAAAGAGGGTCAGCCATCTGCTTCCCGCGGTTCAGGACCCGCCGCTGCTGAGGCACTGAGGAGAATGAGCTCGTGGGGATCGCAGGTGGATCTGGCCGATGAGTTTAAAGAGGGGTTTTCCCTCTCGCGGTCGTTGGCTATGGACGAGAGTGAGCCGCTGGAGGATGATGTTATTTCATTAACATCATCTGATCCAGGGACCAGTGCTCTGCTGGGTTCAGCCCAAGAAGGGCAGGAAATGTCTGAGGAGGGCGAAAAAGCTGAGGCTGAGCCTTCCCAATGGAATGGAAGAGGCCGTTTTCCTCACGCATCCATCGATTCCAGCATACGAGTTATGCCAACATCGAGGTGATGCATGAAAACGGCTATGAGAAGATGCCCCCTATAGAGAGATGCTGGCCAGCTATCTCTCTATGGGGGTGAGACGTCCTCTCTTAAGACTCCCTCCTTGCCATCTAAGCCCCTTCAGGATACATCTCGCTTGAATGGCAGGG